TGGGATTTTCCCGGTCAGTCTGATTTTATTTGCTTTCTCTTTTGCCTTGAACTCCTCTTTTTTCCGATTCTCGTCTGCTTGCTCTCGAGCTCCTCGTGCGATCGCTTCGATTCTTGTGATTTTGTCTCGGTGGCTCTGTATGGCTTTTGCTCTTTTTTTGTCCAATTCAGCCTGTAAAAAGTTAGTTGAATAGAACTGAGAAGAAAAGGTTTAATTGCTGTGTGTGCTTATATTGAAAGAAGATACTAAATGGGGGTGAAGCCGTGAAGGAAAACAAAGAACCTCTGCCCTTTCGATTTTTCGTTTTGCCTTTTTCTTCTTTTTAGTTTCCCAGTTATCAATGGTGGCTCTCAGCTTCACATACCTGAAAAAAAGTGCTTCTGTCATATGGGGAACTGATGATAAGTACTTTTTCTAACAACTTCAAATGAAAAGTTTGCAACTTTGAAAGATGATTTGTGTTCCTTTTCGTTATTAGGCTGAAAGATAATCATTTTTTTCTCAGTCGAGCGCGATAAAAAACTTTCAACTTGTACCGTTCTCTGATGTTTTCAATCTCTTTTATTTCCCAGTCATCCGCTCGATAGTCTCCGGGTCCTGATTTTACTGCAGTTGGCTTTATTGAATCTACAGGATTTGTCTTTGGCATGATGGTCTCAGGCTTCTTCTTGCTGTCAGCTCTGAATGTGGGCCCCACTTCAGGGACCCTCTCGTCGGGTGCTGAATTTTCGGGTTTGTTGCGTATAATAGTCTCTTCGTTATCTGCAAAGCTGATTCTCTTCTTGAAGGATGGTTCCTTTTCGGGTGTCTTTTTGGTATTCGTGTTTGTTTGGTTTGGATTCTTGAAACTTGATCTTAAAGTTTCATCTGATGCATACAGAAAATGATTCCACTAATGATACGAACAAAGTGCAGATTTTCGACAAATGAATATCATTAGCCTAACTGAATTAACTAATGATACCACTAGTGATGCATAGATGTTCTATTTTACCTGCAGATTTTAGTGCACTTTTAAGTGGTTCGGGTCGAGTTATTGTGGCTTCAGATTTGTCCTTCATCTTGCTCAAGGATTTGTTTGCTGCCTCTTTATTATCCTTAGATTTCAAATCGTCGAGCGATTGAATTGCATAAGCTGCTGCAGCAACAGCAGCCTGATAATCGGCACCACTTAACTCGTAATCCGAACTCGTTTGTCGAGAAAACTGTCTTCTGAGCCAGCTCTGGCTTCTTTTTCTCTCTGCATGAAAAAAATAAAAATAAAATAAAATTTATGACTCTTCGTATTTTTTTAATTATTTTTTAAATAATTAGGTAAAATCTCAAGGGCACCTTTGAAGGATTGTGTTATCTGAGGTTGTAATTTTCTGTCTGTTGTGCTTGTGCTGCTGTCTTCTTTGTTATCCTGTCTTGCAGTATATTTTAATCTGTAAATTAAGATGAAAGCTGCATGATTAGAACTAATTAAGAGAATCAAAATAATAATTGTTTTGAAGTATAGACAAGTTTTATAATATAATAGTAATAAATATTATGAAAATAATTTTTTTTTTTAAATAAAAAAAAAACAAACTCAAGCAGTTTTTAAAAAATGTTGATCCCTTTGACATAAATTGCACCTTAGGTTGTTTGTAAAACAAATGAAAATCAAGATAATTTTTCATAGAATAATTTTGTAATTAAGATGGAGTTAAGATTTTTTTTTTTTTTTTTA